CTCTGAAACTTGATGTTTTCCAATAAATTTGGGTACTATTTAAACATCATTTATCATTTGTTTTCTGCCCATCTCTTCTCTTTTTGGGACCAAAATGACAGGTATCTTATACTGTGGAAGTGTCCCCCAAGTTGTTGAGGCTCTGTTAGTTTTTTCAATCTTTTCTTCTTTCTGTGTTCTTCAATTGGATTGTTTTCCATTGATTTGTTTTCCAGTTCACTGACCTGTTCTTCCTACTTCTTCAATCTGCTGTGAAGTCCATATAGCAACATTTTTTAAAATTTTAGATATTTTATTTTTCAGGTCTAGAGTTTCTATTTTATCCTTTTGGACAGTTTCCATTTCTCTATTGACATTTTCCATTTTCTCCCTCATAAATCTTTAGTTCCTTAAACACATTTTTAATAGCTGCTTAAAAGTCTTTTTTTGCTATTCCAACATGTGTCTTCTTAGTGTCTGTTTTTATTTATTCCTTTTTCTCTTGGCTATATGTTTCATTTCCTTTCTTTGTACACTGATCATGTTGGACAATACATTTTAGAACTCTGGATTCTATTGTTATTCTTTGACAAAACTGTTGATTTTTGTTTGTAAGTACTACAAAAATCACAAAATGCATAAACCAAGCTTTATTTTTCCCATATGGGCAGAAAAGTTTTAGTGACCAGCTTAAATGACCAAATAAGAACCAAAATACCATACAATTTAGCTGCTGCTATTAATGTAGAATATTTTTTATGTTTTTCAATATTTTTCCCATAGAAGTTATCATTTTATAAGAATCAAATATAAGACTTTTTACATTTAATACAGACATGATTTGATTCCATCTGCACCACTTCTGGAAAATTTGTTAGCCTCTATAAGCATCTGTTTTCTCACCTGTGAAATATCTGCAACAACAGGTACCTCTTAAATATAATAGCAGGTAGAGAGCTACTGCTCAGTAAATAGTTATTTTAAAGGCAGAGATTTCTGCCTTTGGATCATGAGGTGGAAAAAAATTTAATCCAACAACTAAAATATAGTTTTCTGTTCTGCCTAATTATAGACCAGCTAAAATCAAAACTCACACCACTTGCTATGACTCAGCATACTCCACATAACAACTAGAACGCTATGCCCATAAGCTAAAAGAGTTGTAAGTCCAAAGAGAAAACTTGGGATTCTGTCCCCACACTGGTCCCACCTGAAATCTGTCCATTCTACACAAAACCTGGCTGGCTAAACTCAGCTGCCCAGACTGGGAACCTCATTATCATCCCCCACATTTCCTCTCCTTCAAACCTGATGTCAATCCATTCTGGCTCTTAATTCACTCAAACCCTCTGCCACCTCCTCACCCCAACAGCTACTGCTTTAGATGACATCTCCATCCCCTTCCACACCATTTCCAATAGCCTCCTCATTTCACTGCTTTTAGTTCCTTTTCTCTGCCACCCCCAGAATGATCATCCTAAGATCACTCATCTGAGTCCTCTGTCTCCTATAAGCCACCTGTGGTTTTCCAGTGCTTGAAAGATGAAGTCCATGCTCAGGAATATCCCATACAAGTCCTTTCCCAATCGTGCCACATCAACATTTTAGCTTCTACATTATCTCACTCCGTCCCTCCTACCCTCCAGCCTCACATGGTGCACTCACTCTGGTTGGGATGAGCCTGAATTCACAGCTCTACACACATTCTTACCCATGCTGAAGGTAGCCTTCTCTACCTAGAAAATCCCTGTTCATTCTTGAATAGCTGACATACCCTCCTCTGTGAAGGATCTCCATCTAGGACAGTCTTCATAACGGTTATCTCATGTACTATAATGACATGTTTACATGTCTGTTGTAGTCTTAAGACTATGAGCTCCCAGAAGACATAAACAACATCCAGCATAGCATCTGGCTTATGTCAGGTGCTTAATAAACACGTCTGAACTAATAAATGACTACATGACATTTGAATATTAAAGACCAGAGATGAAAATCAAGAATGAAATAAAATATTTGCCTCACAGAAAATCCCACCACCCAAAGACAGTAATCAAAGAAAACAAGAAACAATGTGGCTTACTATTAAGCTCATTCATCTTTATCTGCATTTCTCCAATACCAAGAGGAATGAAAGTATTTTATTTTGATGAGATCAAGGTCATATCTATACTGGTCAAAGCCCAATTTGGTAACTCTCAACTTTTCCTAGCTCAGACATTTTAGTTATAATGCTTTCTTTTTACATCATGAAAAGTAAAAAAAAAAATTAAAGTTCTTAATTGGGCTTTTGTCAAGCAACGATTAATATTGAATGGTTTAATCACAAAACTCATGTTTGGCAGTAGGTCTTGGCAGCAAGCCCCGTGTGTATTTTCTCTGGGACCAAATTACTCATTTCTAATACAAACATAAGAATAAAGCAAAAACCAGCATTGTGTAAACAAAATATGTTTCTTTTTAGTTCTCAACCAAAAATTAGTGCAACCTCATTTAACCACTATTTCAACTGAGATTTGGAGTTTTAATATAAGGCAAAGAAACCAGGATTTATTGTTAGGCACTCAGCATATCCGAAAGAACCTCATACTCAGTAGCCTTTTTCCAGTCACATTTTTAAGCAATAGAGCATCATTTTTTCCAAATACAGAACCAAATATCCCTGATTCTTATCCTCATCCAAGCAACTGCAACCAGCTGTGAAAACTAGAACTGGAAATCAAGTCTGTCTGCAGGGAGTCCCCTTGAAGCTACCAAGCCTGACTGTTTTCATCAACAAATATTCATGACCCTCATTCCCCAAATTCAAACTCTGCAGACCACCTCATAATTTTTTTTAAATCAATCCTTCAAAGTCCTTTAAGTTTTCTTCATTTTAACTCAATTAAAATTATGTAACTGCTCCTAAGAAGGCTGCTTATCTTCTCTTTTTTGTTTGTATTTTTTTATTCCCCAAATATTGTGTTTAGTACAAATGCAAAATTATCTCTTTTATCCCCATAATCTCAAGATATTGCCTAACCAGTCAAAGCAATTCTCCATTCTTTTAAAATTAAAACCATGCAGTCTTCCTTTCTCACTTCTCCTAGGAGCCTCATTTCCCAGACTTGCTCTCTGAATTCCCATCAGAAGGTTCCTACATAATCCTCCTCAACCCATGCACTGCTGCTGGCAGTATTAGGTATGACATCTGCCATGCCATTAGTCACTTCTGATGCTCAGAGAAATAGCGAAACCATCCTGGAGAACTTCAAAGCTCCACAGTCAGAAGTTTCAGGTAATAAAAATGTAATGTTATTTGCTTTGCAACAATCTAAAATCAAAATCCCACATTGTAGGTCTGACCTGTAACAAAGCCCATCTCTTGCCAGTAGACAGGTTTTTCTTTACACTTAAAAAGAGCTGTTCAACCTAATTATGGCATTGGCATCTTCTCCTTGATGACACTCCTAAAAACCCACCTGTTGTTTAAAACTCCTGTGCATGTAAGTCTCCCACACTCCACTTCCTCTGTGCTGTTCAGAACACACTACCTCATGAAGTTTCTCTCTTGGACACATGCCTCTCTCTTACAAGCAGGGCCAAGATGAAATGATGTTTCTTGCAACACCCCAAGCCTCCTGGTAGTTATAGTTGTCTATCTACTCTCAAGTGCAAGGGAGACAGGCGACTTTGATTTACTTTCCCTAATTTCTTTCATAAACTTTCACTAACAGGAATAATCCTGGGAGTAAAGAAATGCTACTCCTTCTAATCAGAATATAGCTTTGCACATTATATAAAACGTTTGACAAATCCTTAAAAATCGCCTAACCTACAACACAAAGTACAGGAAAATCAGCATGGGAAGTCTGGGGGAAGGGCATACTGATCCCTGAGTTAGCAACTGCTAGAGAATATTTGGACATACTTCCAGGTTACAAGACACTTTGACATATATGATCTCGTTTCACATTCAGAAGAACTCTATTATTAGACTCACTTTACTACGTGAGGAACCTGAGGAGCAGAGGTTGGTGCAAGATGCCCAAGGTCATACAGAGATGACCTCGTGGGGCTGGAACTAAATGGAAATTTCCTGATTCGTAGTTCTGCCAGTTCCCATTATACCAGAACCACTTAGGTCAGGGAAATATTTAAGTCATTCTTATCATGCATCCTCCTACAATTTGGTTTTAGTTCATTTGCTTGTTGGTTTCTTTTGATACTTTGTTTATTTTATTTTGCAGACAGAACTGTGACAGGGACTTCTTCAGTTGACCCTAGAAAAATAAGCTATTTGTTCTTTTTCTATAGGAATAAAATAATATATATATATATATTCCTGATTCCTACCTAAGCTAGTGGGAATTTAAAGAGCTGGAAGACTTCATTCATGACAATTCCAAATACAAACCTTTACATTCAAGTGATGACCAGTTATCATCCAGAGTCATAGGAGCCAGGGCACCAGTAATCAATACCTCCCACCAGAAGGGAAGTATGCTTCAAACTACAGTGCCCCCAGGTCGTGAAATAACATTACAATGGGAATTATGCAAGTATACACAATCTTCATTCATGTTACATTTAAAAAATGAATACATTAAAGGAACTAACAGAACACCATGCAATATCCCTACAAGGTCCATTTAGAGTTCCCGAATTTCACTGCACAGGAACACACATACACATAATTGCAGCATTAAGCCCGTTGCTTGCATACCAGTCTAACAATAAACAAGCTGGGAGTCAGCTCCTCTATTTATGTTGTGCTGTGGGCACACACACCCTTTTATTATCTGAGGGACCAAAGGCACCGCAAACCTTAGCGGCAATAAATAGTTCCAAAAGAAGAACCGTCCGCTGAACAAGTAAAAACATGAGTGGATTCCAGAAAGTACAAAGATTTGCTAAACAAAACTGCCCGGGCAGAAGGATCACTTTAAGAACCTGCTCCGAATCCTTCAACTGAAGTTAAATGTTTTTGACAACTGGCAATAGTTAAAATTTCCCACTTTCTGATTATTCCAAGTGCTTACCTCTGCACATCCGGCCTCCAGCTGGTTCTGTCAGGACAAGAAATCTCCCAAGGAAAGCCTGTTCTCACAGTCTTCTCAGGCCAATTTAGCAAATTTGCAAATGGGAGAAGGTTTGCTGTGACAAGGGAAGAGGAGGGTACTTTCACCAAACCACAAATACTAACCCACCAACTCAAGGACAGCATCCCTATCTCAATAAGAAAATGTCTACTCCAGGAAAACAGAAAGAAGAAAAACAGTTTAAAGGCCACAGGATTTCCATAGTTCATGTGTTTATGGGACAAACTGAATATAAAGCTCAGAGAGGAGCACAAATTCAATGGTGATGATTTTTAGAAAGTACAGAGTATCATTTAGGATTAGCTTCAGTTGCAAATGAAAGAAAAGGCAAAATAACAGTGGTTTAAAGAAAACAGACATTTATTTCTTTCTCACAAGAAATGACGTCTGGGTAAGCAGCCTGGGGCTAGTGTGGCAGTTTCCTGGCATCGAGGTCCAACCGCCTGGCTTCCTGCTCCACCATCCTTAGAGCAGGACTCCCTGAGATGGGCTAGAAGAGTCTTCCAAACTCCAGCCATTGCATTCTCATTCCCACCAGAACAGAGGAATGGGAGACAGAGAAGCAGGCCTCCTCCCTTTAAGCTCCCATCTGCTTACATCCCACTGGCTACAACTAACTAGCTAGATGGCCATAACTAGCTGCAACGGAACATGAAAATAGCTCACACAAAATAGGCATTTGCCATTGTGCAAAGATCAATATGCCACAGTTCAAGAGACTTCAAGGCCCTGGGGTCCATGCAACCATCAAATATTTCAGAATTGCCTACATGAGCCAGCCACTGGGCTCTGCGCTGAGTGCCTGGTGAGGATCAAAACAGAACAGACACTGCCCAAAACCACCAGAAACGTCATTTGTGAACATGCATGCATAATTTGTTTTTCTTTACCATTTTACTTTGAAATAATTTCAAATTTACCAAAACATATCAAGAATAGTTATACCCTTTACCACATAACCACATTTGTTTTTAAAATATATTCTTGTTCTCATCATGCATTCACTTTCTCCCTCCTTCCCTTCTCCTTTTCTCCTCCTCTCCCCCTCCTGTCTCTCTCTCTTCTCTCTCTCTCTCTCTCTCTCTCTCTCTCTCTTTTTTTCTCCTCTCAAAATACTGTGATATTTTTAGATGGGGGTAGATGGTGGGTAATTGAAACCATATAAAGAGAAACAGCATTTAAGGAAGGACAACTATATGGAATAAAAAATGCATTCTTTAGTTCAACATAAAACAGTTAACGTGTAATATTTAAAACAATGGTTTGAATCCCTATTTTGCCATAGTTTTTTATATGAAAGAACTATATGGACTAGATTTTTGTTATCATACGATCTTAATAAAGTTTAAATATATAACTTTTCATAGGAGAAAGATAGCAATTTTCAACTGCATCTGCCCACAGTTGGGCAGACATTACATGAGGCAAGATGTGAGAACAGTGGAAATTTTATGGATAATTTTATCTAGGGATTATAAGAAGGAAGGATAAGAGTTTAAAAAGGCAGCATGCCATTGTGTTCCCTAATTTTCAATATTATTATAATAACTGAGAAATCAAATTTCTGATTAGAAGCTAGGAGTAAAACTGCTAATATTCTTCTAATTATAAGTTATGGGCAGCACAATGGTAGCTAATAGCACTAGACACTTTGTTGGCATTCAGTAGTAAAAGAAAACCAAATTAAAACCACTCAGTTTGACATGGTTGCATACCAATAAGGAATAGCTGTTTTTAAACTCCTTTTCAAAAGTGAACCTGACAGGCTACTCAAAAAAATTCTAACCGCATTCTCTGCCTCACAGGTTTCTGTGTTGCTGGGAGATGAAAAGCATCAAGAAAGTAAATGAAATGGGCAGGAAGAGCAAGAATAATATCCACAACACTTGTTATTTATTCTGAGGCTCAACATGTACCATATTTGGCCAATGGAAACCAAGCCAGCTTCTGTGTCCTTTTGACATAATCCTTTTAAACTTTTTTGAGAACTTCCTTGCTTTGTAGCACAACAAATAATGTGTTGAGTAATCCTGGAGCCCTCCAGGTTTCTCGATGATGCCCAGTTGCAGTTCAGTTTATCCTACCTAAGGAAAAGCAATCTAACAATTTCTCCCATCTGAAACTCCACCATAATCAATTACCAAGAAATAGATGTAACTCTAATAAGATAGTTTCTATATTTCATATTTTAATTATACTTTATTATGAATGGTTCTGACTGTTGATGTCTCTTACATTCCTGAAATTAAGTATAACAAAAATAAGCAGGCAATAACTTGGGTACAAGGTAGATATTTTAACTTAAATGTCAAGGAGACCCAGGACATGTTCCAAAGAGCTAAATATGGTCACATGGAATTGTGCGCATCCCTATTAATTGCTGGCTCTAAAGATAAATGCAAAGAGTTTCTCTCTCTCTCTCTCTCTCTCTCTCTCTCTCTCTCCAAAAGTCAACGTCTACTCTTAGCATTCTTACTGATTTATAAAGGCATGTATGCCATACTACTCACTTTTCCTTCCACAGAAATTAAGAGAGTTGACAAATAATTATACAATGTCACTCATTTACTGGAGCACTATATAAATAAATATGTTTCATGGGCTTGTATTGTGATCCCAGCTTTATACTCCAAGCATTGTGCTGGGTACAGTGATACATGCGATGAGGAATAAAGACTCAACCCCTAACTTCTAGGGCTTAAAGACTTATGAGATGAACGTCCACAAATAATTCTAATAAACACAACAACTAGAATGAGCTAAGGGATATAATTGCAACACAAGAACAAGCTGTGGATCACCAGAAGAAAGGGATGATTGATTGCAATAGGAGATCAGGAAAGGCAGAAGACGGACAGTTTCCTCTGCTATGGCAGGACTGTGGTCCCCTGGGCAGAGCATGTGGGTAATGAATAATATTTCAACTAAGGAAACAACACAGCAAAGGCATCAAACATCAAAACACTAAAGTGCAGTGAATGGCCCAGGGTGCATGAAAAGATGTAGAGAGAGGTGAGGATGGTAGATGAGTTTGAACCCAAGCATCAAAGCAACTCCTTAGCATCTGATAAGGACACTTCTTCACAAACACTAACCACAAAAGAGAGGAAGGAAAAGGTTCTGCTTAATCACCAACATTTTAATTCATTGGCCTTGTTCCATATAGTCTTCTCATATCTGATGTGCAAAAGACTGCAGAAAGAGGAGGGAAAAAGCAACAAGAGATATAAACTAAGTAACATTTTCCCAAACAAGAAATTAGCCAAATAGCATCTGTCCAAACAAACATAAAAGTTCTAAACCTCTGAAAACTGAGATGAGATTTTTGTTTTCACCACAAAGTCTCCTTTTTTCCCCCCATACTTTTGGCATTCTCAACACATGCCATTGGACAAGATGCTTTTATTGAAAAAATGGGCTAGAAACAACACATGCCATTGGACAAGATGCTTTTATTGAAAAATGGGCTAGAAAACCATCTGATACCATATCAGACCAGCAACAACTGATCGTTCATGTCAGAGGACTGTGTCAATTTCAAGATAACTGCACCAAACCAATGGGGAAAAGCACCAAGGTTCTAAGGCAAAAGAAGAAACAGAATCTGGGGATATCATCTGCCGTTATTATAAAGTTAGCACCTGTAGTTGAGACAATATAATGCCTGCCATTTTCCCCCTTGGCCTTGCTAACAGAACTCTGACTCAATTGGGGGTAAAATTTGCCCAGTTAAATGAAATATTTGTTCTCCCAAGCAACATGTGGCCAGATAGTACAGCCCTCGCCCCTAAGTTGTTAAGATCCTCCTGAGTAGGATGCGAGGGAAAACTTTCGTTTCCCAACAAAAAGGACCTCATCTTTCACCATGCACCACATCTCAGGATGGAAGTTTCCTCCATGATAACAACAATCGACTTTATATTTAACTCCCTGAAACCTTCTTGAGCATGTGGCGTTTCTGTAACCACTTCTTTAGACCCACCTTATAATTTAGTTTGGTTCCTCACCCCAAAATAAAATATCAATAAACATTTGCTGAAAGTAAAGCCTGAGAGAAAGGAACATGAGAAGAAGTATTCAGGGTGCTTTAACCCCTCCCGCCCTGTACTCAGCATTAATCATATCCATAGGGCCCAACTCTTTCAAATATCATGATCCCTTTTAAATCCAAAAGATGCTGACCCACACATAGTATTTTGGTAACCAGTAATTGAAAATATGCATAAAGTTTAAAAGCCACGATGAATCATTAATGAGTTTAAATAAATATTTACTTTAATAAAACACACAGGATTGGAAAGGTGGTTGATATATTTGCAAGGTCCATATGTTGGTCTATAGGGTATGTATATATAATGCACATAGGGTTCACAGATATCTTGAAATAAATTCCATGATCCTCCTGAGTTCTAAGATCCATAGGTCAAGAATTATTAATCCCTAATAAGAGCATTTTAGTTGGGTCTACTCTCCTGTCAGTCACTACCCAGAACCCCAAGGATGTGAGTTGTAACAAAACTATGAGTTTGCTTTCTGCTTTGGCCAAATTTAATCTAGTTTTAAATTTTTGAGGCAGGCCTCTGCTCCTATTTAGATTGTGAAGTTTAAAAAACATATTAACACTATAAAATTGTTATGCTGCATAAAAATCCCCCTGAGTTTGAGATGCCCAAAGAAATGCAAGAGATGAGAAATAATTTGCTCTATCACACATTTTTTATTTAGCAGTAGGCATTAATGGCATCAAAGCACAGTTAAATGTCCCACTTAGAGGGTCCAATGATTGAAACAAAAAAAAGATAAATAGCATCAGATCCTTCACATTCCCAAAACAGGTATGTGATAAGTTCCAAGGTAGACTTTTTAAAGTGCAATGTATGTATCCCAGTCCTTGAATCAAAATGACTCCATTTGTTCTCTCAAGAAATGAGTTTTGATGACCATCTAATGGAAAGATAAATGCCCTCTTAATCAAAGCAAAAAAAAGGAACAAAAGAAAGATTTTTTTTAAATAGCCCCCAAAAAGCAATGCCTTTGAAGCAACAGCCAAATTTG